ACACCCAGACGCTGGGGCTCGGGGGACAGACAAGCCAGTGCATTGTGGAGAGCAGGTGCCAAGCCCTCGTGAGCCCTGCCCCAGGGCGGCTGTCAGGCTGGAAACTAGCTCCACGTCCCTCAGGCACCCACAGCCCTCCAGCCCTGAGGCACTTGCCGGGGACTCTGCTCTCGGGGCAGCCCTGTGCACCCCAGGTCAGCTCGATGCTAACTTCTAAATACGCCTCATTGAGCCCTTCTCCCTCCATCCCTAAAAATGGCTTCCCAGCTCCCACGGAGCTGCCCCAGGCACTCATCCCCAGGAGCCGGCACTCAGCAGAGCCTCTCCGGGGGGCACACACAACTCCGGGTGTCTGGCACTCCCCGGGTGGGGGCAGTGAGCACGCAGCCTGTGCTCACATGGGTCAGGGCAGCCAGGAACACAAGGGACAGTGCCACGTACTCAGGGGTCCTGAAGGCCCTGGCAGCAAAGCCACGGGAGCTGGGACCCGCTGGGACCCGGGCCTCTGCCTCCTGAGGAGTAAGGTGGGTGACGACAGGGTCACCTAGCAGGGCTCCGAGAGTGGACATCTGCAGAGCTCTTGGAACGGCGCCCGGCTCGCCGTCAGGCCGGGTGAGTGCGCATTCATAAACCTGTCACCGTCGGTGTTCGGGGCACTCAAGAACCAACCCGGCCTGCAGATGCCCACCCCAAATCAACCCCACCACACTCTGCGTGCCCACTCTGTGCCGGATGCCGCTCGCCTGCGGGGAAGGCCGGTCTCCCGCACTGGCTCCCCGAGGAAAAGCAGGACAGCCAGGTGTGTGGCCAGATGCTGGTACAGAGGCGCAGAAGCAGTGACCCCACGAGACACTGGGGGTGAGTGCCTGCGGCAGAGGGGCCGGCACGGGGACACACGCAGACTGGTCAGACCAACCAGGTCAGCCTGAGACATGCAGCCGCAGCTCCTGGGGCCCGGCCCGTGGGGCACCTGTCCCCCGCCTGCCGCCTGGGGCCCCGACGCCTCACTGGGTCACACTGGGCTCCAGCAGCGGGTCACAGACTCAGACACCGTCCTGGGGGCGCAGAACCCTGCGGGGGAACAGGCTGCCGCCAGCCGTGGGTCCCTGCATGGCGTCCCCCATGAGCCCTCATGACTCCCCCACCACAGACGAAGTTCTCCCATCGAGGCGGCGGGGGTGGGGGGGTCTTCCAACCCGGGCTTGGTCCCGTGGCAGGATGGATCCGGGACGAGAAACGCGTCACTATCGGTCACAGAACCAGGAGGTTCTCGTAAGAACTTCCCGGAAGGCGGCTGGCAACGCTGGCGGGCTGCGATCAGGCCAGGTTCTCGGGCAGCAGGCCGCACGGATGCTGGCTGCCAGCACTGAACGACGGGAGCTCACACGCCTCCTCCCGACGCTTCCCGGCCCGTGGCGCTGCTTTTACAGCAACAGAGGCATCAGCCAGGTGCACGCCGCTGTGCAGGGCCCCTCGCAGGGCTTAAAATCGGCCTCACCATCATCTCCGGTCATCTCGGAGCCGCGGCCAGGGAGGCTGGCGCTCTGGGAGAGGCCACGTGGAGGCCCTGTCCTGCTGGGATGCGGCCACAGCTCGCACACCCCGGGAGCACCTGCGGCCAGAACGTCTCCCGCCAAGCCCTTCCCGGCTGACCGGCCACGGGCCCGCAGGCTGGCAGTGCAAGCCCACAGGAGCCCAGGGGGCACGGGACTCAAGGAGGAAGTCTGCGTCGTTACCCGGAGTCGTAAGGGGTGTCACTCCCTTTTAATCAGAAAATAAATCTTCACTTCTTGCTCCCCGGAGTACATAAAATATTAGAGGGATTTTTATAGTTATAATCAAAAAACTGGTTTCTCCAGCCACCGCTGGCCAGATCTAATTAGGGTGAGGGATGTTAATGATACAACTATGGCCCAGGACATTTTTCCTTGTGATATTAATTGCATTTAAAGAGAAAAGCCTGAATTGTGCCTTGCTTCCTAATTAGCATGCATCTGCTAATTAATAACAGAAAGGCAAACCATCTTTGTCTTGTCATCTGCAATTAACTACAGATGTTTAAATTCTTTTTTCTCTCTTCTCCTAAATACTGAATCAGCTTATGGCCCAGAGACAGCAGGCTGGGAGAGGTGGCACAGGAACCAGGCCGTCCCCAACACCTGGACAGAGGTGCCCCCATCACACCCATCGCCACGACTGGCCCCGAAACGGGGTGAGGGCCATAGAGCAAGACCCAGGGTGGCTCGGTCCCCGTGTCACAGGAAGCTCTGGCCACCGTCCCCACCTTCAAGCTCCCACAGCAACTAGGGTTTATTGCAGGGCCGGAGCTGCCTCCTCACTGGCTGGGGGCCCACCTGGCCCTCATTTCCTCAGGAGGCAGGAGGTACGGCCCGGGGAGGAGGGAGGGAGAGCAGAGGCTCACAGGCCTCTGAGTGAGCACCTGCTGTATTCCGCCGGGTGCTGCTAAGTCGGGAGGAGAGAGAGAGGAGACACAAACGGGAGACAAGCTCAGGATGTGACAATCAGAAGGTAGAGATTAAACCTGCGTGAGGTGCAGCTACAGCACAGATCCAAGGAAGCAAGGCACCCACAGCATCCCACTTGAGTGCACCAAGCACCTGCACCTCCGGGCACAGCTGGGAATGAGCTGGGAGACGAGCCGGGTCCCCACCTGCGTGCCCGGCTCTGCGGGGCTAGAGCCACAGGGACGTTTCACCAAAGCTCCCCAAGGAGCATCTTCCCCAAAGCCCTGGCAGCGCCTGGGGAAGGGCCCCTGCACGGAGGTGGGCGCCAGCATCGCCTGGGGAGAAGTGGGCCCCCCACCCCCACGAGTTCCAGTCTAATTGGTCTAGAGGTGGAACCGGGCTTCAGTGTGTTAGGGCTCAAGGGAGTTTTACACAATGCAAAGAAACTTTATGGGCAGAAAACAAGGGAAAACACAGGCAGGAAAGCCACTCTCCAGCCCCATGTCTCTCAGGCATCCCCAAGAGGCGAAGCAGTGGCCCCTGCGGCCTGACCGTGGGAGCTTCTGTCCTTTCCAAACCCCTAGGAGCCAGGGAAGGAGGACCAGGCCTGTGCTCGGCACAACTCCATCCTCATTCCTCCCGCCTGTGTGTGCCCAGCACGGACACACGGCCCTCGGGCACATGTCCATTCAGGTCAAAGCTGAGGGAATGATGCATGTTGACCCACACGTCGGGCTCTCCCCCCGGGTTTCTTCACCCGCAGTCCCATTAGTTACGCACACGCACGTGAGCTAGGCCGCACGGTTTACAGAGCTCCCTACCCCAGGCTCACCGGAGGCAGGCACCCCCGTCAGGCCCTGCCTGGGTCCCAAGCCCCTTTCTCCACCAGACGAGGGCAAAGGCTCTACGTGGAGGCATGGTGGCTCCCCCTCAGTCAACAACGAATGCCTGCTGCACTCAGGGACCGGATGTGCCCTCAGGGGCCCCCGCAGGGGAAAGACCAGCGGGCTGACTTACAGATTGAAGAACACGTACGTGACATCAGGACCGTGCTGCGGGGCTGCCTCCCAGCTCCTGGGGGTGGGGCTGCCCTCCCCGGGCCACATGTCCGGGTGCTGGAGCGGCCCGACGCAGCTCGAACCTCAGGCTCTACCTTCTTGGCTACGTTCGCCAGCTCCGGAGGGCGGACACGTGCCAGGTGCTGGAGGGCCTTGACGTGGGCGCTCACACCCCCTGGCCCAGACACCCAACAGCCAACGGCATCTCAGACCCCCATGCTTCTCTCCTGGCTTGCCCTCCCCAACCTTCCCATCCCACCTGGGACTCCCCCGCCCACTGCCCAGGCCATCCTGCCATCCTTGACCTCTGGACTCACGCTCTACCTACCCTGCGTCCACCTTTGGCACAGCCGGTCTGGCCAATGCCCACCACATACCCCTGCAACCCTCCCTCACCCCTGCCGGTCAGGGGCTCTGAGCACAGCTAGCCTCAGGCTCCCCGATGCTGGCGCCTGGGCCTCATCCCAGCCCATCCTCAGGCCCCTGCCTCACGAGTGGGCCTGTTTCGGGTCTCCCCAGCCCCACCTCCACCACGGCCGACAGGAGCAGTGGCAGTAAGACACAGCTGGACAGCCTGAGGCTGTGGGGACGGCTGTCAATGGATGAAACAAACCCAGGGACGTGGCATGCCAACTTGTGGGCCACTCCTACATTGCAGATGAAGGCCAGATGACCCGCTCAAGGTCAGGGGCTGACAAGCGAGGACTGCACACCAGGAACCCCGACTTGTGCTGTGAGTCCCTGAGCCCGCCCCAACCCCAACTGGCTGGCGTGTGGCCTGGGGCAGAGCTGCCCCACAACACCTGCAAACGTGCCCCGTGGCCCTCCTGTGACCCTGGTGGCTGGGTCCCCACAGAGACCAGACCATGGGCCAGAGCAGGAGGAAAGGCCTGCAGCTTGTGTGGGACAAAGATGCATAAAAAGCAAAGCTGTCTGACCCCAAACGGTGGTAAGGAAGCCTCTCGGCCTACAGGCTGCCCGCTCGGGGACAGGGGAGGGGGAGACGTGGTCCAAGATGGTGGCACGTGGCCACATGGCCAAGGAGCACACCTGATGCTCAGCAGGGCAACGCGGGCTGCGAGCCTGATGGGCAGACGTCTTGGTCCACACACCCTGTGAGGTGGGGCCACCATGGGCCCAGAGCGGGGGGACAACCAAAGGACGACCTGGCCGTGGGCATCAAGCAGGGATCACGAGGGTTTTCACATCAGCTCTATGTCGGGCGGGTCATGATGTGGAGCAGAAGGGGCACTGGGGTCCCCACGTCAGAGTCCCTGAGGGGCCAGGCCCCGGCTCCCAGGCCCCATGCACTTCCCATCCCCACCTGCGTTTCTGACGAAGGGAAGCGCTGTGACCATCAGGGACCCGCAGGCTTGCGCCTGCATGACAGGGACATAACTCCCTCCGCTCCCGGGATCTAAAGCACCCCATGCCCTGAGCTCCTTGCGGCCACAAAGACCACCACCAAGAGACTCACCATGTCCGCTCTCTGCTTCTGGCCTCCCAGCTCCTCCAGGGCCTGTGACAGCTGAGCCTTCGAGACAAGACAGAAAGCAGGGTCAGTGGGCCTCCCGCGCCCATCTCCACTGCCCCCACCGCCCCCACTCCCTACTGAGCACAGGGTTCTCGGGAGCTGCGAGGCGGCCCACTGCTTATAACAGGTGACCGGGCTGGGGTGGGGGTGCTGGGGAAACACAGTGGGAAGTCCACCCCAAACCTGCTGGCGAAGCAGCAGAGTAGTTACGGGGGGCAGAGATGTTCCCGATGGGGTTTTCACACCCCTGGCAAGAGGAGTGCAATGCATGTCCTCCTGGCAAGTTCCCGTTCTGGAAGAAGCCCTGACGGTGACTTTCCCGACAGGGCCAACATCTAGGAAAACCCGACGCCCCCCAACCACTGTCCCCTAAACGGGTCTCTAGGATCCTCCCCAGGGGCCTGCCCCACCCCAGGACAGAGATGCGAAGGGAGGTTCCTGACCGTCAGGGCCAACGGCAGTGCCGGGCCAGGTCCCAGCGACCCAGCAGGAGCTCAGGGGTGGCCGCCCTCAGGCCTGGCCAGTCCAGCTGGCATGTTAGGTCCCGACGGATGCCAGCACGGAGCGGGCAGCAGAGCGAAGTCCAGAGCAGCCCAGGGCCGAGGCCCACCAGACCCAAGCGCTCATTGCTCCCGCATGCCCCGGGCCTGGACGCCACGAGCACGGTGTATGCAGCCTGCCTGGGGTCCCGCACGGACACTCCCAGGCCAGGACGCGCCACGCAGGGACAGAAGCGGTCACACACCTTTCCCAGAACCCAGTGGAAGCAGATGCAGCAAACGAGTCGTGGGGCCTATTTTACGTGCTGGCAGCGACTGCGGTGCAGAAGCGCGGGGGACACTGGTGCTCAGGTGGAAGCCACAGGGTCTGTGCCAGCCCGAGGAATGGCCCGACCCTGAGCAGGGACCAGAGCAGCCCACAGACTGGAAACCTGGGCCCTCCCAGAGTGACAGGCGGCAGACACACAGAGGTCACGCACCGCCTCCCGCTCGGGGCACCCCGTGGGGTCCCAGCGTCCAGCTCCTGAGGCGTGCAGGGAGGAGACCGGCGGTGCTGGGTCCTCGGGCTGCGGGAGACCTGCATCTCGTCATGACAACGTCTGCGTGCACCCACCAAGCCTCCCAAGCACACCCGCTTCCGACACGCCAGCCCTGCTGACGAGGCCAGGCCTCCTGCTGAAAGCTCGTCAGTGCTCCGCGAGGCACATGAGCAGCACGGCCAGGAGCGGAACGGAAAACACGGCAAACACGGCAGGACAGGAATCACCCCCTCGGCAACGGAACCTCCGCTCCAACCCCAGCTACAAAACCGAGCCGGAAACCCCAAACTAAACGCCACCATTAGAGCCAGCGCTAAGCTTCATGCCCAGCCCCGTGAGCCCATGAGGTGGCTCCTCACAGCCCAGCGGCCTCAGCCTCACCTCAGGCCAGGCACAGAGGGATGGGCGCAGCCACCAGGTGGGCGGGGGGACCGGTGGGGGGCACAGGTGGGCAGATGGGGGGCTGGCAGGGGGCAGGTGGGGGCACAGGTGGGCAGGTGGGGGGCAGGTGGGGGGCACACAGGTGGGCAGGTGGGGGGCTGGCGGGGGGGAAGGTGGGGGCACAGGTGGGCAGGTGGGGGGGCTGGCGGGGGGCACAGGTGGGCAGGTGGGGGCACAGGTGGGCAAGTGGGGGGCTGGCAGGGGGCAGGTGGGGGCATAGGTGGGCAGGTGGGGGGCAGGTGGGGGGCACAGGTGGTGAGGTGGGGGGCTGGCGGGGGGCAGGTGGGGGCATAGGTGGGCAGGTGGGAGGCAGGCGGGGGGCACAGATGGACAGGTGGGGGGCTGGCAGGGAGCACAGGTGGACAGGTGGGGGGCTGGCGGGGGGCAGGTGGGGGCACAGGTGGGCAGGTGGGGGGCTGGCGGGGAGCACAGGTGGGCAGGTGGGGGGCTGGCAGGGGCAGGTGGGGGCACAGGTGGGCAGGTGGGGGCTGTTGGGGGGGAGGCTGGCGGGCACTGCAGAGACCACCTCTCGTGGGCAGGATGTGATGTTTGAAGGACGGCCAGGAGAGGAGGCAAAGGCAACATCCGCACTGCGGTGGCCTATCTGTAAACTCACAGCCCCCCGAGAGAGACCGTATGCACACTCACTCGGACAGACCGAGATCCGCTCTGCAGAGCCAGGACGCAGCCCACCCAGGAGTGGCACCTGCTCTTTCAGGCTGGCATTTGCAAGTGGCTTGTCAGGGAGAGGGCAGCGGACACATGCCGCCCGCCAGACAGAGGGCCCCGGGCAGCGTGGCCCCTTTGCCCCCCACACCCCCTAGAGGGTCGGTTACAGGGCTCATGCTGGGGATGACGTCCGGCCCCACCCCGGGGCCTCCCCGTCTTGCCCACCTGATCGGTGCTGTCAGTGGACACGGAACAGCCATGGAGCAGTAATGAAAAACAACGTGACCGAAAAGGGCACAGACAGACGTTTCCTGGAGGACAAAGTACCTGTGCTGACGGGCACATGTAAAAGGCCGTCAGCTCCACTAGAAACCAGGAAATGCCCATCGAGGCCCGCCGCGAATTGCCACTCTGTACCCATTTGATTGGCAGAAACAAAGAACTCGGGCAATCCCAGGAGTCAGGACAGACGGCGGGCATAAAAACTAGGAGACCGCTCTGCGAAATGAGTTGGGTTTTGCCTGAAGTCTAATGCGCGTGCGTCACCTCTCACTCCGTGATCCCACCCCACGAATGCGTTTACAGGAAACCACAGAACATGTGCCTGGCTGATCTGCGGTGGTGAGCATCGCAAACCACGAGGGGTGAACCCACACGCTGTGGTGTATCTGTGTGCACAGCGGTGGGACCAGCGTCCCCACACGGCCCTTGGGCGCGGCCCCCCGTGAGGTCAGCCAGGAACGGAGGAGAGTGCAGGGCTGAGTCTGCCATGGGCACGCCAGGTGTCAGCCAGGCTCCCGCACTCAGACTCGGCAAGCAAGTCGCACGCAGGAAAGGAGCGGTGACCCCCGGGCCAGTCTGGGTGGCAGAGTGGGCCCCACGCCAGGACGCTACAGATGGGTGCAGACACTTCACCGCGGTCTCTGCGAGGACGCGGGTGAGCAGGGGTGCCGGGACTGTGATGAACAGGCCGAGGCTGATCCAAGATGCTCGGTGCCCCGCTCAACATCCCAGTCCCTGCGAGAGAGAGATGCAGGTGGCGTGCTTCTCAATCCTCGCACGACGCGGGGCTCGGAAACGGCACAACTGTGACGGAGACTCGAGAGGGCTGCAGAGATGCAGGGAAACCAGAGGAGCTGGCAGAAACCCGACTTGGAGGAAAGTCAGCCCTGCGTCGGGAACCAAGCGTTCGCCCACATCTCCCTGAGGGAGTCCCGCTTGGGGCAGCCGTCAGGAATACGCCGCCCAGAGACTGAGGCCGGGAGGCCCTGGCACCCTCCCTCCGGCCAGCCCGGAGAGCCCACGCTGTGCGAGGGGACCCGTCACACTCAACAAGACAGACGCTGACAACTCATGTGTCCCACGGAGGCAACGGGAGAGCGGGGGGCGCCCCCCACCCCCAAGGTGCCGAGCCAGAGACACAGGGCCGTCCCCACCCAGGGCACGGAGTTGCTGAGAACCGTGTGCATAGGCAGGGAGGGAGCGCTGCGGGGGACAGCGTGTGCATCACACCCCAACGAGAAGCGGGGTCCGGAACACGTGCCCCCTGCACCCGGGAGGACAAGTCGGGGACGAAGAGAGGGTCCGTTGTGCTACACGAAGGAAAAAGTTTCCAAGAGCAGGAAGCTCGCCCTCACCAAACACTACCCCACAACCTGTCACATGCCCCGCCATGGGAGGCCCTCTGTGTCCAGGACCCCAAGCACGCGGGAGGGCTCAGGTCGGGGAGGCCACGGGGTGGGCTGCTGACACAAGCCCATGGCCGAGGAGCCTCACGACCAGGGGATGGGCGGGGTATGGGCAGGCAGCACAGGACGGAGCCTCTTGCTGGGCGAGCCGACTCTCCTTGGGGCCAGACCCGTGGGTGCGGGAGGGGCGTGTGCCCTCTGGCTCACGCACACAGGACAGCTGACGCCTTCGCAGGAGCTGGGGAGGGGGCAGCGGAGAGGCTCCCACATCCCAGACTGAAGACTGGCCACCCTCACCCAGACTCCGCCAGCCCTGACCGGCTGCATCTCCGCATGAGACACGGAGGTCACAGGGGACCAGGAGAGGAACACGCGTGCCGAGTGGGGACTGGGGCCACAGTGCTGACGGGGGCGGGGGGGGGGGGGTTGCTGTTACACGGCAGCTAGACTTGCAGCAGGGATGATGGGTGGGTGGGCGGGCAGTTCCCCGTGTCGCGGGCGGCCGCGGGTCACACCCAGCCGCACCGGGACTGAACGGGCACCAGCAGTGGCCCAGGGGACGCTCCCCATCGAGCAGGAAACACAGTCCGTCCAAGTGCATCCGCCACAGACGATGCCCTGCAGGGGCACTGGTTGTAAAAGTGCCCGGGTGGGCACCTCTTCGACTGACCCACCACGCCCGCCCCGCAGAGCGAGCTGCTTACCGCAAAGCAGCCCAGCTGGCGACCAGGCCTGAGTCGAGGCAGGGCACACAGAGAAGGAGGCCTGTGCAGCCTCATCCGCCCATCCCCACAGGTGGCCCGGACACCACGAGCCCTGCACCTCCCGGCCCACACCTGACACTAGGCGGCTCTAAGACGCCAGTCTTTCCAGAAGCCTGGGAAGCGGGCATGATGCTCGCCCAGCCCTGAGGGAGGGGCAGAGCCTGCAGAGCCCGGGCCTAACGTAGAGGTCAGGCACTTGCCACTCCCCGAGGCCGCCGGTCAGAGCCCATTGCTGGGCCTTAGCTCGTCACTCCTTCCTGCGGCACTGTCCCTACAAGGTCACCCCACTGCACGGCCACGGCGGCAGGCGGGCATGGGTCTGCCTGCCTGCGGAGTGTCCCATGTCTGCACAGAAGGCTGCTCGTCTACGAGAACAGCTGCTGGTCAGGCTGCCGTCTG